GCATGTTCTTGGCTTGTTATGAAATTGTGGGTGGTGAGTTGAGACTTGATGATCGTGTATAAGTGGAACTTCTGGTGCACGTTGGATATTCAATAGTAGCACTGGGAACGTGTTCTCATCTGGGAGTTTTTTTTCAGGAAAACAAATCTACTGACCTTCACTTGTGCTGTACTGTGTGCAGGAAATTGCTTCCCTGCTTCTTGTGGGAAAACAGCTGCTGGTTTCCATGACACATCTGTAGAGGATGGATCACTTGCAAGTAGATGCATCTTTAGGGAGCATCAACTTATTGTAATTTTAATTCCTCGTTTCATCCTTGAAACGAGCACACGTCACATCCTCAGTATGTGCACTGCTAAAACAAATGCTGAGAAGCTCCCTTTGCTGCCCCTAACAACTCATGCTTTTTCTTTGTAGAGATGTTTTGGAAGAACCTACAGAGGAGGAGTTGATGGAAAAGCTGCACCAGCACCCACACCTGCAGTTATGTAGGTGACTGGTGGGAAGGACTGATTTGTTTAGACCTCTGTTTTCTTGAGGTTGTCTGCTGGAAGAAAACTGAATGGATTTTCTGTGAGATGCTGATTAGGAAGAGGGGCTCGTAGGACAGCATGTGAGGTTTTGCTTGGCAATTCTCTGCAGAAAGGTTTTTTTATTTTTGGGTTCGTATCTTTTTTGCAAAAGGTTTGAACCTTGCTAACTTGACTTGATTTTAAGTTGCAGTTTTAGAGGAGTCTTGCAGCCATTATTTTTATAGACTGTTGATATCGGAATATGTTTTATTTTCTTTTTTAAGAGGGAACGTGTGTTTAAAATGGCAGAGCACTTTAAAACATGAACTTTATAACCACTAAGCCACTTTCCTGTTTCTTCAGCACAGGAAAATGGAACTGCCTTTTCTGGCAACGTGGCAAGGGCTATGCCCTGCAAGTCATGAATGGATTAGGCAGGACCAGAGCAGAATCCTTCATCTTTTTGTAGTGAGAGTTGAAACACTATTTTTGCTGTAATGTGACACCAGCGTATGTCACCGGATTTTCAGGAGTTAATCACGTTGGAACACAATCTCTTTCAGCTCAGGAACAGGGTCTGCCTGCTTGGCACATCCTCTGGTTTCCTTTCCTTTTGATCAAGGCTTGGTGCTGGTTGTGCCGTGCCGGTCACTATGAGAGCAGCTCCAACTGCAACTGGAGCAATTGCACTCGTGGTTTTTCCAGGTGGTAAAACTGAGCTCTTCTGGACTCAATAATCTCAGGCTGCTTTTTAGTGAACCTCTCCCTTTTACTTTCCCGTTCTACGCTGTCTCACGTTCCGTGAAAAAGCCGAACTTTGGCCGGAATGTTGCGCCATGATTGCTGCCAGTCTCCCACTTAAAGAGGGGGGAAGAAGAGGGAGGGGAAAAAAAAAAAAAAAAAGGTTGAATGGGATAATCAAAGTGCTCAGCAGTTCAAATTTTAGTTCAAGTCTGTGGGAATAGAAGGTGCTCAACCAGTATTGCAGGATCACAAGCTTTTATGGCTTAATGACCTTACGCTTTATATCACTGATTTTCACCCGGGTAAAAGTTTTTTGGGTAAGTATAATTTTGTCAGCAAACCTGAAATGGAGAATTCTCATCCGTGTGCTTTTCACTGTCCCTCAGCATTCCTCTGAAAAGGTGATTTTGTTTGAATCTTTGTCCTGTGAATTGCTATGAAGGTCAGAATGAATCCCAACTGCTGCTTTTAGATGTAAAAATGAAACTGCTCTTTGAGGTGCTGCCTTCTCATGGAGACACTTGTCACCAAAACAAACATTGTTGTGGTCACCCCTGCAGGGACAAGGGCTTGAGGAGGGTAATTTGCCATAAAACACTGCTACTATTTATAGGTTATTTGATTCTTTCTTTAGATAAACAGTTTTCAAAAGTGCCAAGCAATCGTCCTGTATACTTTTCCCCCTCTTTTTAACTTATTAGCCTTTCTTTCTGTCCTGCGTGAGGGAGAGGAAAATATCCAGGATGATGGTGCATTTTCACTCAGAAGCTTATTTTTGCCTTGTTGTCTCACTGTTCAGAAGTGGCTTAATGATTCTTCTCTGTCTGTTTCTTTATCTTTTTGCTTGTGTTTTCGTTTTTGCTGTGGAGTAAAATGTCTTGTAGCTTTTATATGTGTAGAACAAACCTGAACTGAGTTCTGGGCTACTCCTGCAATCTTTCTTTACTTTTGTAATCTTGCATCTTAATCCAAGCCCTTGTCTGTGCTCAGTCTCTTGTCTCTCTTCCAGATTAAGCTCCCCAGGAACTCACTTGCACTGGTCCCAGTGGCATCACTGTGCTTATTTTCAGTCATGCACTTAAAAAACACTCATCATGGTGAGCTGATAAAGGCATCAGCACTGCTTTTTCTAGGTTTGAGTTTGCTTTCTTTTCCAGTATGGCTTTATTGTCAGGATGGTTTCTACTCCTTCTGGCATGATGTATAATCACTTCCACCATTTTATTGGCACTTATCACACAGTGGTTAAATAGTTTATTTTACCTTTTTACTGAAAATAAAAAGTTATCTTTTTTCCACTCCTCTGAATACTTGAAGTAGCTTTGCCTTGCCAAAAAAAGAAGTGTCCAGTTCTTACCAGTTTAATTATTTTTTTTGCCTACTAAGCTTGTTT